CGCGCTCTCAGCCCCGACTCAGAAACCGCCATCCAGTGTGGTTCAGGCGTCAGTGACCGCCAGAGCCGGAGAAGGAACACGGCCGCCGCCCGTGTCAAGGAGCCTCGCCGGAAAGGCCCTGTCCTGGCCACGGCTGTCCCCCCCAGCCTCGGGGGCCGGGGCCCAAGCTTGAGTTTGGGGGGGAGGGGCGTGGAGCCCCAGGTTGGACGAGTCACTCCGAGTCAGGCTGGGGCTCGGCTCAGCCGCCTATTTGGAACTGAGCTTCGACCCCTGCGAGCGCTCCGGGTCCTGGTGTGTCCTCTCTCCGCCTGGACGCTGAGCCCGCTGCAGCGGCAGGACCCCGGGGAGAGGGCAGGTGGCCGCTCTGAGGACCCTGGCGCGGGGCCCCAGCTCCGTCGGACGGAGCGGCTCCCTCCTCGGGGGCCCGGGGCTGACGCGGACTCGCCCCGGGACTGTGGGTGTTTCCTGGGTGTCTCCACCTGACACCCCGCGGGGCCGCAGGGCGGCGTGAGCTGGGAGCCCCTGCGTGGCGTGCGCCGGCCGCCAGGCGTCCAGACGGAAGCGCGTTCTCTCACCGGCAGAGTCTGGGGCGAGGCGTTGGCAGGGCCGTGCCCTCCAAAGGCTTTGGGGGACGACTGTCCCGGCCCAGGGGGCTCCGATCCTTGATGTGTGGGGCCTGTGGGGCCTCGGTGTGGCACGTCGCCCCTCCCGGGCTCCCACGGCCTTCTCTGCCTCTCACGGGGACCCTGTCGCTGGGCTGTGGTCACATTTTCACCTCTTTAATTACACCAGCAAAGACTGTAAGGCCACATTCTGAGGGGCCGGGCAGACTAGCTCTTTTGGGGGGTGCACGGGGCCTCCACAGTGGCCACGCAGAAGGGCAGGCGGGACGTCCTCCTGTCGGCCAGCACGGCAGTTGCCGGGCTCCAGGACACTCGTGACCAGAGGGGCTGTGGGGCGGCCCTCCCGCCGTCGCCCACCGACAGGGGGTGCAGGCCGGCCCCCCACGTGCGAGCGGGGCCCTGTGGGGAAGAGAGTGTGTCGACGCTCGGGGCCAGGCCCAGGGCTCCGTGGTCCAGAGAGGAGGGGGACCCCGCCGGCCTGCCCACGCCCCGGACGCCTTTATGTGGGGATGCCTGGTTGGGAGGTGGCGGCCTGGGGGCCCAAGGAAAGATTTCTTGCCCCTCTGGCAAAAATAGCAGTGAGAGCAATGATAACAGAGCTAAAATTAGTTTGGCTGTGAGTAGCTGAAACCCTACAAACAACAATGACTTTTAAAAATAGGTATTTATTTCTCTTGTGTGTTAAAAAAAAAAGCCTTGAAGTGGGCCTCCTAAGGGTTTTATTTTGCCTCCCCGATCACCAAGGTCCTCTTTCGGAAAGGGCTCTGCTCCTTCACCGTGTGGCCTCGCGGGCCAGATGGGCAGCGAGGCTCCAGCCCTCACACCTGCATCTCGGGGCGCGGGGAGGAGAGACGCATAGCCCGTGCCGGGGCCTCGAAGCAGACGCCCCGGAAGCTGA